GGCCACTCTCCGGTCTTCGCGTGCGGCCTGCCCAGGTTCAGGAGGGAGGGCAGGTCCCAGCATTCATTAGGCCTCCCTATGTAACCCTCAGAAAGGACCTTCCTGAGACTTGCTACTTGCATATGAAGAACAGAACTCCTTTTTTCACCATAAACATAGTTTTTCTGAAGAGAAAGCGCATGGTCTTAGATTTTAATAGATCATCTGAGAGTTTTTTGACACTGATAAAGTTTAAGAGTTGAACTTGTGGCCTATTTCGCTTCAGGGCTGGGCTGCTAACTGTTCAGAAAACAGGCATTAAGGAAGAAAACCCGTAAATTATGATTTTGGTCTTTCCTCAAGGGCATTTTATCCATTCCTTAGAAAAGTTAGGCCTCCGACAGGCTACTGAGAGTTATTTCATGGAGGTGCTCGTGACGTCTGGAGAGCACTCCTCATAATGGATAATCAATACTCTCACGCTTTTCCAAAACTTATTTTTCCTGCCCTTTTATGAGAAATTATTGAGAAACCTTCAGATACTGATAATCTAACAAACTTGTTGAGAAAAAAAGTCATCTAAGTTTTCTGAAAATATGTATACTAATGATCATAAAGTGAAAACAGGTTGTACAAGAATTACTTCCTTCTTGCCCGATTATTGTGCAGCTTCCAGGGGCATTGTTATTTGCTTGGAGTGAGAATTATACTAATCTGAGTGCATTTAAATGGGATACAATTCAGACACATTTTTTCATGTGCTTGATTTCCTATAAAAAAGGGACTGTCTTAACACTACATGCTCTGTTCATTCTCAGTCCTTATAAAGTCTTGGGGAAGAGAGAACAATCCAAATTCTTGTGCCCATGTCATTTTTTGGCACTTAATTTGCATATTTATTATAAGGATTTGGAAACCTGATACTCAAAAAAGGTCTAGTATCCCATAAAGACAATCTTAGAACTACTACTGTTTTTCACCCCCAGGCTCACTGAGCCTCATAACCATACTTCAGATGAGGGTAACTTGCACTTTCCGCAGGTGTTTTGTCTGTGACAAAGGACAAATTAAGTCTCCAAAAAGACTCGTCTGCTGGCTTTTTCTGATGACTTCTATTTCAAGGTCTTCTCTAATTAGCCTCCCCAAATGGACTGTTTAATGCATAACCAATCTTGAACTTGCTCTTTTCTCTGACTGAAGAGAAAATTGCACTTCATTTTTGTTGAGCTATGGTGCTTATGTTGCACATTTATCAACGAGTGATATTTTAGAATTCTAGATGACAGCTGCTGAGTGTTTCCTCACTGGCAATATTAGATTGGGAATTACTAATGGTGAATATATAAATGCTTTTTAATACACAGTCTAATCAAAATTGTTCTAAATATTTAGCTTTTTAAATTCATATTACTTTCCAAGGTATATTAGTCTAATGTGAATAAGAAGCATTTTTTTTAGGATCAAGAGGAAAGTTGAAAGCATATATAACATTTATCACATGGCCAAATAAATCATTGATAACAATAAATTGTAGTATGTTGATTTTAATATCTTCCTAGCTCCTCATCTATTTCATTTTAATCTTTTAAAAAAATAATCAACAAGATACTACAAAAAAATTTTTAGTCTGAGAAAATGACTGTGCTTCCTTTGTTTTGTTTTATCAAAGTCATTTTTTAAAATTTCCTTTTGTTCTACTGCAACTAAAGAAGTGGAACAACATATGTACATGCAAGCTGAAATACAGCTGGCCAATAGAGTTTACAACATGATTCCTTTCAAACTTGATATCACACTTATGCAGGCAACAAACAACAGTGTCTATTTCACCCCTGCCAGCAGGCAGAGTTTCCATGAGGTGAGCAGGAATCTGGGGAAGGACTGGATGACAATTACTGAGGGAACCAAGAGCCTAGGGTATTTGAAAATCTTCTCTTTCTTTCTAAGACCTATAGCCTGTCTTTTTTAAAGGGAGCCTTGAATTGAATACACAGTAGGAACAAAAGCCAAAAATCCTCAGGTTTAGGAGTGGGCAACTATCAACTGGGGAAATATCAATGTGGGAAGAGTCACAGAATCAAAGAAAGAATGATGTTATGAAATAGGTACTGTAGGGTTGACTTCAGAGGAGGACACATTTATCAGGTTGAAGAGGGGAAGAGAAAGTCCCAGACATAAGGCAACAGAGGTGGATGAGCAGTTGAAGGTCACATATAGATCACCCTGCCTCCCAGTTGTAACAGATCTGTCTCCAACTGAATGCAACAGGAAGGCTTAAGGGGACTTGGTCTCCATTTAGGCTGTGGCTCTAAGGCAATAGGTCGAAACTGCACCCACATTCCAAAATGATGCTCAAGACTACAAGACTTGTAATGAACATGTTCCAAATCCAGTGTTGCCTTTTGCAAAAGAAGGGAATAAAATGGTTGAACTTAAATACCTGGAAAATAGTCATTTCTTTGCAGAGATTTGTCAGAGTGCTGTCTCATCCCTTCCTGCACCCCATGCCCTTGCTAATTCCAGGTGGGAAAGGAATCTCCGTTGCCTCCTCCTGACCTTAAGTCTAGTGAGGAGTTTTAAAGTGGACCACAAGTAGGACCTGCAACATGATCTCCGATTACCAGATGAGTGTGTGACTCATACCTGAGAAGTTAGTTGTATGGCTGGGGCTGGATACCTACCAGGTGGATGAAGGAAAAATGGGCTGTGTTTTTGGAAGATTCTGATTTCAAAGAAGGAGATGCAGTACAAGATCCCCAGGGCCTGGGAGAGGAAGCCAAAGTGATTAACAAAAGCCTGCATCCACATCAAGGGAAAGGTCAGGGACAGATTCCTAGTAATGGCTGTTCCCAATACTCCTTGGGAAAATGCCCCAGGACAAAGTTGACTTTAAATGTCTATCATAGATTGATGCCAGCCAGTGAAGACCCTTTGCCTCTCTTCCTTCCTTCTTACGATGTCAGAGAGTTGAGGAGGAGGGCAGAGAGGTGCCAGTGGAGTAATGAAGCCAGTCACATCTTGCTCATCCTCTCAGGCTAGGCCCTGGCTGGTTGAAGCTGGGGGAAGGGAGAAATTTTAACTCTGAATAAAATTTGGAATTCTGTTTAGACCTCTAGGTGACTGAATTGAGACTATTCTGGAGATTAAATGAGACTTCATTTTTTGTTATGCTATGGTAACATAAAAATACACATAAGCATATAAGTAAGTAGGTGAAAGCAGGCTGTAGAAAAGTCTAGAAATGAGAAAGCATTCCACAGAAGAGAATTAGGAGAGACTGAAAATCTGTTGGAGATGCAAAGATAAAAACCCGCACTACCTTTAGGAAGACAGAGGGCTAGAACTCAAGGGGCTTCTGCAAACAGCAACTGATTCACAGCAACCATGTCTTTTAAAAGAAATTGTCTCTGGACTGAAAGCTTGACTTCCTTTTCTTGGGGAAACTAAATAAAAACAATCAGCAGATGTGGAAGAAATGTTCCTCAGCCACCTCTTCAAATAAGAAGGAAATGACATTTGTGGATGGGCGACTGGTCCTGGTTTACTCCCCCAGAAGGCCTCCAAGAATTTCTCCATGTGGTTAAGAATGATGTTGCAGAGCGTTCAGTTATACCTGATGAGTAAAAATAAATTTCTTCATTCTCTATTTGTATGTAAAACTGCCTAAGTCTTGGAGAGTTCAAAATTTGATCTCCAAAGTTGTTCTGCCCTTTTGCCTGCTCAAGGTGGCATCTGGACATAAAGGTTCATTTGTGTGTAACATATACAGTATATGAAATGTCCTTGGGGTCATATGCTGTCCTCTGAACTCTTGCTGGTCTCTGATATGTTGTAGCTTGTTTGGCCTGGTGCCCAGTTAACAGTAGTGGCAGTCATTGAAGTGTGCAGCTCCCCACCTGGTTCCTTGCCATGCTGGCATCTTCCGCTGAAGTCATAAGTTCACACTTGTGACACCTTCCTTCTAACCATAGGGCTCTTCTGGTCCACTGCTCCTTTCATCTCCCATCCCTGCCTGGCTGTGGCATATGGTAGGATATGAAGAAATGGGGTGATATCTAAAGCTCAGCTCTCTCGATGCCCCCCTCAGCCATTTCTAACGTCCTGTCTGGCACCATGTTAGATGGAATGACATGCCTACTGTGGGGATGCTCTGAAATCCATGCTAGGATCAGCCCACTGTTCTGGAATGTGTATCTACCATGTACTCCAACAAAGTACAACCCCAACGGGGCCAGACAGCTCAGATATTCATGTCTAATGGCTTGTATTTCTACTTTCTCCTCCCAGCCACCTCCTCTCAGAAATATGAGGGGTTGTCCCTGTTTCCGTCAGGTAGAAAAATCTCTTACAGCATGTATCAGTCTTCTCTACACTATGGCATACAATAAAATTCAATGGTACAGATTCCCTACATTTAGCATTTGATTTGCAAAGGAATTTTGGCAAATATAAACATTTTTTCTCTCTCAACAAAACTTGGATTTCAATACTATGGTCTCACTGTGAATTTTTTAGAATATGTTTTTTTAAAAATATGACAGCCAAGAAATGACTTCTCTGTTCCAACTTCTCATGAAATGATGAAGTCCATTGATTTAATAAGTGCAGAGCCACACGGCAACATGATTTCTGGGAATGAAAAAAATGTCAGTTTAATTTTGCAAATACAATTCCTGTAAAAATAATAATAATCTAGATAGAGAATCCTTTTGGAAACTTAAAGCTAAGAAAATAATTTATGCAAGTGTAACTAGTGCATCTAGGGCATAGATGGTAAACTGTTTAAGACCAAATATTGTTGAGTTTCTCCACTTTTGTGTCTCTTGCTGATGTTAGAATCTGAGGAACATAGGGAATACAGGACTCTAGAGATCATTACGGAGAAATTTGGTACAATGAGATATGACTTCTCCCAGGAAAACACCAAATCTGTAGTAACCATTCATTCACAGCTTGGCCCCAAACTAGCCCTTCATCCTTGTTTCCCACTCCCCACCTATGGCAACCTTCTGTTCCAACAGAGCCAGCCAGCCCACAGACCTTTGGATCTGTAGGACCTAAACATTCAGTGAAGACAGCAGGTAAGCCTGAGCACAGCCATCTTAAGAAACCCAGAGGCCATTTTCTGAATATGTTCAGAAAGCCCTTGAAAAATAAGGTGAAAAACAAGTTAATCATGAACACCAGGTGGTGGGCAGCTGCGGCCTTCAGACAGCTAACCTTGGTCAGTTAGTCATACATACCAAGCTTATCTTGCTGAAACACTGTATGGCTGAGGGTGTTCTTATCTCGTGAAACCCCCGGGATGTGGCGCCAACCGAAGATTTATGCATCCTTGGAAAAAAAAACCCCTGTTACGTGCTTGTAGAACAATACTGTCTTTTTAGAAAATGCTATAAAAACCTCCGGCTTTGACTGCTCAGGGTCCTTGTTGAGACCCGCTGCATCGGGCTAACACTTGGACCCCAGCTAGCTGGTTCCTGAATAAATTCCTCTTGCTTGTTGCATCAAGAGACGCCTTTTGTGAGTGATTTGGGGCAGCATCCTCCTCTGGGAGAATCCAACAGATCTACCTTCTGCATTCCTGTGCCTGTGTCTTTGCTATCAGTCTCCAAAATGGGAATACCCCTAGGATAGGGCTTTAAAAAGTAGTGGGCAAATCCATTAGGATTAAGTGAGAATCAAAAATCTTGCCTCCTGCTTATATTTCCATCAAACAAGGTAATCGTCTGTTGTTACAAGGATGGAAGTACCATATTTAGTTAGATTTCTTCTACGAAGGAAAAAAAAAAGGACCATAAGCAGTATCTGACTTTGAGGAAAAGAAAGATTATGTCAATTTCCATTTGCTCTAACTTGTCTATTGTTTTCAAAAGGACTTCTGAGTGGGAGTCACAAAGCTGAGTCTGGCTCTGAGAAGAGGGAAAAAAATGGGAGAATAAACACTGATCCGGAAGCTTGGGAACCACAGTTGTTACTATAGTGATGAAATCCAGTCCGGATGGTGGTGCTGCCCGCCTACGCAATGAGTGGGGGAAAGCCACTCTCCTCTGGACTAGTGTAGCTGAGGACAGAAAGTCTCATATGACCAATTTAACCCTCTACTTGAGAGCTCAAATTGTACCCCTGTAGATTCAGCCAATGTTTATTAAGCACCTAATAAGTGTTTGGCAATGTGTTGGGTGTATTAGAGCGTTTAATGTATCTAAATCCAGAAAATTAGGAACTAACATCACCCTTTTAAATACAGAACAAATAAGGTTTCAAGAGGGCAAATACTTTGTTACGTAATGACCTAGCTAGCAGAAGAGCTGGGCCAAAATTTAAATCCAGATCTTATTTAATTCAGTCTATTTTCAATGTAAACCCATTTCCACCAAACCACAGCTATGCCTGTCAAATGACATGGCAGGAAAATCATATCCCTTTGAATAATGCAAACGTAGGAAATCCATGGTGGTTACCCCAAACTGTGGTATTCTATAATTTCCTCTGGCTTGCAAGTTTTCTAGAAAAACAATTGATGTTAAAGTTTTGTTTTCTTCATTGTAAACTGGATTAGTTAATAACAGCTTAATTAATTAAGAAATGATCCTAAATAACAGCTTTCAATGTGTTTTGGAATTAATATGACAGCATCAATAATTTATTCATTGTAAACACTGTCTTAGAGATACACAAAGGTCATGGAACTATCTCATACATTCTTTTTCTTCCAAGAAGAAGTGTATCTTTCATTGTAAACACTGTCTTAGAGATACACAAAGGTCATGGAACTATCTCATACATTCTTTTTCTTCCAAGAAGAAGTGTATCTTTGGACTTTTAACAGTAATCACATATTACCAGTCATCACAATATACAATCAAGAAAGTTAAGTCCCCTATAGTTCTATTCCTATTACCATCCATACTCTAAAATAATAATTCTTAAGTGTTTTTCCTTTTTGAAAATTTACGCAGAGTGTAATGGTTAAGAACATGGATTCACATTCCAGCTTTGCCATTTATTAGCTCTGTGACTAAGCAAGTTAGACCTCAATTTTTATCTGTAAAATAGGGATAATAATACTACCTACTGCGAATGTTACATGGAATAAGTGATACAAGGGATAAATTATGTTAAATGCTTGGCCCACTACTGACACACTTTTGCACTTTATAAATGGTTGTATACATATGTATGTATCTCTGTTTACGTACGTTGTTTACCTAAATAGATCATGCTATCCATATTGAGCTATAAATCTCACCTAACAAACTATCTTCAGACATATTCCCATGTCTGTAGTAAGAATCTACCCTATCAATTGCTGCATAATACTCTAATACACCATGTCCTCACATGGCCTTCCTGCAGAGTGCCAGTGGAGAGAGGGAGCAAGTTCCCTGGGGTCTCTTTTTATAGGGGCACTAATCTCATCATGGGGGCCCCATCCTCATGACCCCAACTAACACTAATTAACTCCCAAAGGCCTCACCTCCAAATACCATCATATTGGGGGGTAGGGCTTCAACATATAAACTTTGGGGTGGGGGGAAACAAACATTCCACAACATATTGAACAGTGGAACAGATATTTAAATATTGATATTTAAACAGATATTGTAAATGTTTAGTAATGCACATTATCAGATTTTGTTCAATTTACACTCCTACCAAAGTATATGATCATACCCAACTCCTACATCTCATCATTAGCAGTTTTCATTATAACTTTATTTTTTCTTTGATAATCTGGTAGGTAAAACATACATTACGTCAAATTTTGACTTGCACATCTTTGATTATTCATGGGAGTAAACATCTTTTCATGTTTATTGGTAGACTATATTTCTTCATTTGGGAATTTCCAATACATATCCTTTGTCGATTTTTGTATGTTAATATTTTTCTCATTGATATCCATGGGTTCTGTGTACATGAGAAATGTGAACTCCTCACAGTCACTATTCATCCACATCACACTTTCTCATGGCATCCAGATTTGATCTTTGTAATATTCATAACACTCAAAAGTACTTGTTCAGTGTGGGTTCCTCACTCACTAGAGCACAGGTTTTACAAGGTCAGGCCTATACATGTCTTATTTAGTGTTTAGTTCCCAGTACCAACTATAGCATCTGGCCCAGAGCTGGATAAATAGCTCCAAAACTGTTGAATAAATTGATGAGTAACACATATATTGCAATTATTTACCACTGTATATTGTTCTGTTTTTCTTTTAACTTGGTTGATGGCATCTTTGGCCATACCATTTAAATTTTATAATCAAATCTGTCAATTTTTTTTCAGTTCTCAAGTTCATACCATGCATGAAAAGTACTTTTTCACTCTCAAATGATTAACATATTCTCCTGTATTTTTTCTATTATATTTATAGTCTTAATTTTTGTGATTGAATCTTTCATCTGCAAATTATTTGCGTGTGTGTTTGAGGTATACAATTTTATTTTTCTCCAAAAAACACTATACTTTTTATTGAATGATCAACACCTCTTCACTACAAATGTGAAATGCAATCTTGATTATATTCTATGTAGGATGGGTGTATATTTTATGTGTGTATATTTTAAAACAAATATATAAAGCAAATTTCTATTTTTTTCTTTAATTTTTTTTTTTTTGCCTGTCTCATGGAAGGACATTTCCAGGTAAATCTGTTGTCACCCTGTCAAGTCTTTGTTGAATGCAGTCATTCCGTAAAGAGCAAGACAATGAGCTGCACACTGGATAAGGAAAAATTATCTTTTAGTCAGGCTTCCTTCATTAGTTCTCTGGCTTTAAGATGCACAGCTTTGAAAGATCCATAATCATACCTGTCTGACCTGCTTCGCAGAGTTATTGTGAGATGAGAGCATGCAAACTGATCTGCATATTAAAAGTGTTCTAAAAATGAGAAGTTCCTGAAAAGTGAAAATTATTCATATTCTCTATTATTGACAAGCATTCAGAGATTTCATCTTGAGAAGAATTTACTCAAATTGATTGGAGCTGGATGAGTAACATTCTGTGGTCAATGGCAGCAAGTCAGTGAAAACATCTCCCTGTTTTTATTGCAACTTGCCTTCCAAGCTACTAGTGGGTAAGTAATCCCACAAAATGAATCAGATACTGACAGGAATCTTGTCTAGTTTTGTGCCTTTCTCATCCTGGCCCAGCACCATGTCTGTCACTAACCTGCATAATCCTGAAGCGCTTCATTCTCTGACAGGATCCCAGGGGAGTCTGGGGAAAGCGCCAGTGAGCTTTCTTCAAAAGGGCAGTGGGATGGATTGGATAAATGTGTTGTGAGTACCATCATCGTTTCCCGAAGCTGCCTTAACAAATTACCACAAACAGAGTGGCTTAAAATAACAGAAATGTCTTCTCTCACAGCTCTGGATGCAGAAGTCCGAAACCAAGGGTCTGCAGGGCCACACTGCCTCTAGAGGATCCGGAGGAGAAGCCTTCCGTGACTCTCCAGCTTCTGGGAGAAGCCGGCCATCCTTCACTGGCAGCCTCATCACTCCAGCTTCGGCCTCTGTTCACACTGCTTCCTCTTCACTGTTTTCTATTCTTTCTCTTATAAGGATATTGGTCATTAGATTCAGGGCTTACCCAAATAATTCAGGAGGATCTCATCTCAAGGTCTTTAATTTAATTACATCTGCAAAGGCCTTTTCCCAAATGAAATAACATTTTCAGGTTCCTGGGGTTAGACACAGACATTCCTTTACAGAAGCCAGCATTCAACCCGCCTCAAATGCCTCCTATGGTAGGAGGCAAATGAAAGGAGGCTCCGCACATGCAGTGCTTCATCAATTTGAGGCCACAGCTGACAGGAGCCAAATGCAAGTTCTTTTCCCAATGGTAGGCTGGGTGAGCTGACATTCTTATGTTCCCAGAAAATACATAACGCTTCTCTCAGATTCAAGCTTGACTGTGGTTGAATTCAATTCTTTGAATTTTTAAAAATACATTTAATTAACTCCTGCCTGTTCCCACTCCAAATCTTCATACTCTGCATAGAGGAGTTGAGACAGGATCACCAAACTGACACGTTTCTTTCTTCAAAGCACCACGACGCATCATGGAACAAGATGGCGTTCCCGTCACCCACCTTCTGATCAAATCCTCTTTGTGAAGGCAATAACTCAGATTGTTCTCACAAGGCAGCCTGTACTTTTTCCTAAACAATCCTTTTCCTTCCTTTTTCAGAGCAAAACTACACCAGGACTTCTTTTTAAACGCAGATGGCCAAAGGCTAAGATTTCTTGAGACCTCAAGTATTTCTTGTCTTAGTTCTTCCAGAAGACTCTCCCGTTCCACAGGTCCCCTGCCTGATCTGAAGCCCATGGTGTGTTGGAGCTGCTGGTGTTGATTCACAGGTTGGAGCTCAACAATTTTCACATAATGCTTTCAGGATTTTTCATTAAACTGTTCAAATTCAGGCTTCAACCTCCCCAGAGAAAGCTTCAGGCTTAGGCTGTTTCAGGCAAGGAAATACTGGTGTTCATGAAAATAAAACAAAGCAGAAGTAAGTTCTTGCATTAAGCAGATAAGTCTATTCCCATCCCTAGACACCTATTCACCCAAAGTCACCGTAACCAAAACAAGGAGAAATAGGACTTCCAAAGGATATTTGGCAAGGGCTGCGAGCGTTGCCATGGAGAACCAGTAAAGATTCATTTTATTTCATCTGCTAAAATAGATTTTTTGCAAACCAGAAAAAGTGTTTAGGAAACCTTATAATTTGGACTTGGCAGTGGCTTGAATTAGTAGATTAGTAAAAAGATTCCTTAGGAGGTGGAATAACTTTTCCAAGATCCCATGGCTACTTTTTGACAGAACTGAGACTGGAATCCAGATTTCCAGGCTCCTAGTCTAGTGTGCTTTTGACTATTGCTGCCACATTTTCCCATTCTCTTTGATAATTAGAAATATTCCCTGACGTGACAACTCTGGGGGGTCCACATCAAGTGGACTCCATAGTCAGATAGACGAGAAGTCTTTTTCTTCTAAAAGGCCATTAGTAAATATTTGCAGCTTTGTGAACCATATGGTCTCTGTCGCAGCTACTCAACTTTGCCTTTGTAGCCATACAACAGCCAGAGAAAGTTTGTGAATGAGCGGTATCCCCATGATTCAATCACGCTCCATTCACCAAAGAGGCAGAGGGCTAACTTTGGCAGTGGGCTAACTTCCGTTTGTGGACTGTAGTTCTCAGGCCTCTAGGAAGACCAAGTTTAGAGTTCAATTTCATTAACCTTCACTTTTCTGTTCTTTAAAATGGGTATAATAATAGTACAACCTTCATAGTAGTTGTAAGGATTAAAGGACATACAATATGTCATATGTTTACAGTGCTTGGCATTCAAAAAATGTTGCCAATTATTATTAACACTCTTTTACTTTTGGCAATGCCTTCTGAAAATGCAAGAGAAACAAAGGAATCAACATTTAGAGATCTTTTATTTTCCCCTTGCTGCCAGACAAGCCTAGAATTCGCCCAGTGCCACGAGCCCCTGCTGCTTCACAGACACTATCAGGAAGCTGACTGTCACAACTACACAGCTGGCGGCGTCAGACCCCGACCTCCCAGCGCCCCACATGCCTGGGACAGACAGTTTGCTTTCTGTTTGGAACCCTGGCAGGTTCTGAACTCCTACAGCCTCCTGGCTCCACGACATCAGGTGCTCAAAGAGGTAGCTTTCTTTTTAAATGCTGAACAGCTTTCATTTTCATTATTTCTAGCAATTTCAATGAAATGAGGTGCATAGTTTTAGAAAACAATCATTTTTTTCTGGTGCCACCCCGTCCCTTGCATTTCCTTCTAATTTGAAAATCTCAACTCCAAGAAGCCCCACTTTTTCTGTACTTGTTGAAGCTGTAAGAACTGGGGCTGCAACTTCGCTGAAACCTCACTCATCTCTCATCATGCCAAGAGGGTGGGATTCCAGCTAAGCTGCGCTAGTCTTCTTCCTTATGCAGTTTTTACTAAATTATCAAACCTCATCATTAATACACTCCAGTGACACAGGCCCAAGAGATTGCATTATGATGAGGTTCTGCTACACTTTAAAATATTAAATCCTTTTAAAGCTAAAAGTATTTTAATAACTTATTTCTATAAATCTTTAACTTCTTACCTAGGTGACAAATATTCCTGGATTTATGGTTGACAAATCCTACAGATAGTCCTGAAGTAGACTGACTGTGGACTAATGAAAGGAGCTAGCTGTAAGTTTTATAAAAACCTATAAAACTGCTCTGTGCACACTTTGATTAGATGCTACTATTCCACTATAAGGTTTCAGAGTTCTGGAGTCTACAGGCATATACATAAAAATTTACATTTTGTAATTGCCTTAGTCGAGTATCAAATGCCTACAATTAAAAAAAAAACACAAATTCAGGTATATATGTGTCCTTTTCTTCACAATTTTGGCAATTATGTGTAGTTACATTGGTTTCCTGAAAACTTCATACATGCTTCTTTCTTCCTTTCACATTCCTAAATGTGTTTACAAGTCAGTAGTAATGTGCACACTACCACATCCCCAGTTTCTTCTGTACAGTCCAAAGTCTAGATACAGATTATAGGGAGTCTAAATTCAACAAAACATTTCCACTCTAACTTCAACGATCTCCCTTCACAAAACTTCCACCAGACATGAGAGCTCTTGTTTTTGTGCTGTTGGTGTCACACCACCCTCCTCTCCCACACCTAGTTGGTGATAAACTTAAATTCTTTCGGACTCAGCTCCAACCTGCCCACCTCCTCGGCCTCCCTCCTCGTCATTCCAGAGGCAAAGCCTCCTTCCTCTCCCAGAGCCTAGCACAGGTGTCCTGCACGAATGACAACTTCAGTTAATATTTATTGAAGGCTCAACAGGAAACCTAAAAGATTGCCTTCAGGCACTATTAAAGGGAGCCCCATAATTTCAATGAGGATGAATTTGTAGTTTTTACCAAAGAAAACAAGTTTTAACTTCAAAGTAACCTTATTAACTGCACTTAAAGGATTCCTTTAGGAAGTCAAACAAATGAGTCAATTCATTTTTCTTGAAAACTCTTTTCCATATAGCCAGCCTGAAATGATCTAAATCCTGCACATGGCAAGGAAATCCATCCTTGTCTCATCTGCTCCAGGGGGAAGTTTTGGACCAAAACAGTGGCTTCCCCTTATGTCAAGTCATGCTTTGAAAACCAACCAATGAGGACTCCATTCAGTTTAGCGAAGAGTCTCCCACATCCAGACCATGGAGACACATCTTGCCACTTGGATTTGGGACCAGAAAATAAGCCCCAAGGCTAAGTTTGTGACCAAAACAATTGGAAAACTACATAGAGCACAGGAGCCAAGAACACTAAGCTCCATGTAAAGCCCTTAAAATATGCCCTTTTAAATATCACTGTTCCAATTTCCCTCCATCCCCTGTTTGGAGATTCAGAAATTCACTTATAGTCCTTTAATGATATAAATGTATTTGGAAAAATCTTACTTAAAGATTTAGCTAACATACTTCAAAGAAGCTAGCCCTTGCATACTGACTCCAATCTCAACCCCTTGGTTTTCTTCTTTTCTGCCTCCAGATTTTGCTTGACATTTGGAAGGCTCCTCTTGTTATAACACGGGAGCCAGCCCCGGTTTCACACGTGGACTGAAACACTCCACAAGACTATGTGCCAAGGGAACTCTATAACCTTCAGGCATTTTGCTGGTACATGCATCTTTGAATCACTGCTATTCTTAAAACCCTTCCTTTCACCTTGTATTTGAAAAAAAAAATTTCTATGCAATCTAATAAAGTGCAATGTTATTAAACATTTTGAGTGAAATGAGCAAGGTAGTGGGAGCAGTAGGGACAAAGTAAAATGTTGTGTCCCGAGAAATTGGCTTTACAACCAAGTCATTGTCATGCAAGTGCTCAACACACCCATTCAACAAAGTATCTGAACAAGAGGGTGTGATGCTGGGACATTCAATAAATGAATGAGAATCAGTTGATCACCAGCACATGTTGAGAAACATTTAGAACCCCTGCTGTTCAAAGTGTGGGGATGCAATCCTGAATAAAACCTAGGGTTCTTGTCCTCAGGAGAGCTTAAATTTCAGCGGGGAGGGCAAATCCACATAATTTCAAGTTTGGCTCTGTTACAAAGAAAAGAATCAGGGTAATAAAATACACAGTGAGAGGGTGGAGGTAGTTAGTATAAACCGGCTGGTCAAGGGAGAGTCTTCAGATGACACTCAAACCAAACTGGAATAACGAGGATGCTGCCAGGGGACTTCTGGGAGTATCGTCGCAGAAGGGGAACAAGTGCAAAGCAGCCCAGAGGAATGCTCCCGGCTCGTTAAGAGACCCGTAACAACTTAGACAACAGTAAGAGGGAGTGTGGTGGAGACGAGGCTACTGAGGTTGGGGAAGGAGCTCTTAAACAACACACAGGCCCCTAAAGCTGAGGTAGGTGGAAGGACAAGGGATCAGTCAGGCCAGGTAGGGCTTCAAGGCCATGGCGAGAGTGTCAAGAAGTTTTTCGAATTTCACTTTTGGGCTCTGTGTGAAAAAAAGGAAATTCAAAGAGACAGGACTGGAAATGTGCAGAGCTCTTGAGACAGGGACCATGGATGTAGTCAGAGTAGGGTGAGAGCCTCCGGAGGGGGCAGGGCTGGACATCTGCAGTCAGAGCAATGTAACTACACGCAAGGAAACCCGCCCTGCTAAAACTATGTTAAACATTGAGCTCTAGAATCATTCTTCAGTGAGATCAGTTAATGTTCCCCAGATAAAGAAGGGTAGCACATGTTTTATTATGCTAATCATTGTAACCTTGTGTAAGATTCACTTCAGCATGCTAAAAGGCCCAGGCCTATGTGCTGTCTTTCCTCCTTCAGATCTGACGAGGTGATTTTGCAAACTGAGCAATTCACTTAGCATGCAGACCCAGCTGTAGACGGCATAGTAAAAGGCAGGAATTCCATCTTGAAGATAAGATTGCATTTTAACACCCAGGAAGTTCAAGAGGCAAGATTCTTTAGCAAGTAGACAATGCCTCAGCCCACCTTGGGGGCTGGGCAGGCAGCCTTTTGATACGCTCCCAGACCAAGGCGCCGGTGTCCCAGAGAGAAATCAAGGCAGGAAATTCCTTACAGTGAAGTTAATTTTTAATATTCAGGGACCACTTAAGTCCCCACCCCTAAGTTTTTTCATGTTCTCGAAAAATCCTCAACTGCCTACAAAACCCCCTAGACAACGCACCACTACGGACTCTCTTGTCCCCTTCTGGCGTGAGCTGGGAGCTCTGTCCTTTCACTTTATCTCTAAATAAAAGCCTGTACCTTGCTCTCCTACCTTGACTGTTTGTGAAGCTAATTCTTCGGCTCCGTAAACAAGAACCCCAGCATCACTCTTACAAGGCAAAAACAGCAGTCCACGTACAAGAAGGCGGCTGGAATTGGGTAACATGGGACAGATTTCATGGGATGCTTTCTGGTAGCAGAGATTGCAGGGTATAGGAGTTATGGTCAAGAGTTATTTAGAGAAGTTTGACAAGGAGACTGAGACCCTGTTCTTGAAAAATATTGTAGGCCAGTGCTTTACTGTGCATGTGAATCCTCTGGGGCTCTTGTTAAAATGTAATTATAATTCAGCAGGTCTGGGGTGGGGCCTGAGGATCCCACTCAGTAGCAGGATTCCAGCATGATGTGACCTTCATTTAAATTTTGTTGTATTTCCTACTAGTATCTTACCACACAATGTGCTCCAGACCAGCGCTAACACTGGGGCCACATGTTGCTATTTAGATTTAATTAAACTAAGATGTTCAGTTCCTTAGTTGCACTAACCACATTTCAAATGTTCAAGAGCCACATGTGGCTAGTGGCCACCACACTGGACAGCACACGAGAAACTTGTCATTATCACAGAAAGTGTAATTGGACAGTGCTGCTCCAGACAGGGGACATTATTCCTGGCTCCCTAGGCTTGCTGTGACCATGTCTTTCCCCATTCTGGTCTTTGTAGGGGGAACACACATATTGTCTCTGTTAAAATCAAATGCTCTTTTAAGAACTATTTCAAATCCACCTTTTCTATGGAATCTTTCTTGAAACTACAACTTGGTACACTGCTTCCTTTAAATCTTTACGTTGGGTTTTCCTCTGCAATATATTTCTTCTGCATTTTGCCTGCCTAGTATTCAAAGTATCTTAGTATTCAACTCCCTTTTCTCTGGTTATAGAATCCCATTTTCTATGGAGGATCTGGGGGAGAACTATTTCTCTCCTATTTTGTTCACAATTCATTCGAACCTAACTCTATCCTTGGCCACAGTCATTAGCAGGAGTCAAACAACAGCCAGTGATGTCATTCCCAGGACATTCACTGAAAAATTAGGTGGAAGTGCTTTATGTCCACTGGGTGACTAGGTTGGCTGGATGCAAGTCTTGTCTGCTGGTAACCATCTTGCCATCAAATGTGCAGTCTTTGCCTGAGCATAAGAATAACTCAGAGGAAGGCAAATCCAGGAGCTAGATGACAGCATCTCATACTTGGCTATAGCTGTATTTGAAGTGCTATCCACCCTTGAACGTTATTACTGGGGACAATAAGTTCACTATTTCTTCTTAGCAGATGTATACTGGAGTCTTGTCCATTGCCTCTCTTCAGGCACCTGCCTGTTTTGATACATGGTTTACATGGCCCTTGGCAGTCCCCCTCCAACTCCCCTTGGATCCACCCTTTCAACCATTTAGTCACTGTCACCCCTGGTTGGTTTCATATCACAGGTTTGTAGGAGGCATGTGAATATGCCCACTTACGTTAATTTTTCTTTACCAGTTTTAATATTCAAATTATTCTGATATGCTGATAATCAAATATGGGGCCAATCTTCATTATCTGTTGAACTTTTTATTAATATTTTATTATTTCACTAGGTTTCTACAGTTTGGCATAGACATATTATAAATTGATTTATCACTTTAGTGCATGCTATCCTTTACTGCAAACAAATTCAAACTTCCTAGTTACCATGTTTGTATGGTTAACCCATATGTACCTCTGGGGTATTTGCCCTTCACCCTCCACTACCTCCTGGCTTTGAAGGAAAGCCCCAGAGCCACTGAGCCGTGTGCCAACCGAGTGCCTCCAGACCCCTCTTGCAGTCCACCTCGCCTTCTGTGTCAGCTTACTTTGCTTCAGATCTGGGCTTACTCTCCTCCTCATCTTTGTCCTGGAATATATGGAATAGGACCATAATCTGCCCCTCCTAATCAGCTCAGCAGGCCCTAAATGCACCATGCTGCTGGGAGGGGGGGTGTCCCTAGACTCCAACTTCAAAGGTGACCCCAAACTCAGAAGAGAAACTCATCACCACCCTTGTCTGCAACTAACACTGTTTCCTAACTAGAATTGGGCTGAAGGAGTGATTAATTCATGAAGGCACAAAGAAAAGACCCTCACTGCTCCACCACACCCTTCAAAATGTTTTCATGTATCTTGTTTACAAAATAGAATTTAAGAACTACTCTAGAGGACCATGCACATATAAGATTTATCTTTTATTAGAGATCTTATATTACATATTCCCAAAAAGATATAAAATCTTCCAAGAGAAAAATATCAAATCCTATTTGATTCCAAGGTAAGCAACATAATCAAAAAGAAAGCAGAGATTTTCTTACAGACAAAGGAATGTGAAAACATTTCGGTACAAGTACAACAAAGACACAGAGGGTAATTACAATGTTTTACAACACATTTTACAACATTTCATTTTAATCAGTATTTGTAGAAAACAAGGATGCTGAGTTCTCAAACACTGCAGTTACAACCTCAAATTAAAATTAAAAAAAAAAAAGAGAAAGTAATGAACTAGTTGGTCAACTAAACATCTGCCATAATAAATGGAATAAAACCTAAGCATACAAATACACCACTGAGACCACAACTGAAGCATACAGTTTGTAGCATGTGCCGGAGACACTAAATTATTTAATCAGCTCTTGACCACAACCTAAAGCAAAAGCATTCTCTCTTCGTTTCCCTGATGATTTATTCTAAAAATAAAAAGCAGAAACTTGCTGGTTAAAGAGAATTTCTGCTTTATCTGTGAACAGCTGGTGGCCACACACAATGAATGAAGACCCCGACTGACACAGGACAGATCCATTTCCAACAACCAGAAGTGGCAAAACCACTGTTATTGCATCAAGATTTTTCATTTCAATTGATCAGAATATCCAGAATGATCAAGCATATCCACTTAACCACAGAACACAGTGACCTCCCGTAGGAAGGTTTTACATTGAGATGCAATGAAAATACTGATCTTATTCCTGGGATTTGCTTCTGGTGACCCTAACATCTGCAGATGTCCACAAAAAAGAAGTGTGTTTTTTTCCTTTTTCAGTTGTTTATCCCCCTGAAATGAGGAAGGAAACTTACAGTACATGTTTATTGCATGAAATTATTCCCTTGTAATATCTTTAGCAACACTGGTATTGTTTCCTTAATTATTAAAGGCGAAAGAAGTTTATGAATTTAACATAACAATCTTAGGAGCTGTACCTTGATAAAAAAATCCAGATGATAATCAGACTACACAGTGGAAGAGAAATTAGATTTTAATTCCTTTATACAGAGGTTGGAATGACAGGTGCTAAATGGAAGTTTAAAGTTAGATAATACTAAATCTATTCGTTAACACAAAAGAGAACTTTCAAAGGTGTACATACTCAAAGAATCTTTTCTAGGTTCAAACTAAATATAGCTAGTTCTAAATGTTGCTAATGTTGCTTTTGTTTTAATGTCATGTTAACAATGATCCCAAATAAATTTTATCCAGAGTATGATAATGGCACATGGGCTTAGAACTTCACTTTGAGGTTAACACAGAAAAATCTGGAATTCAACTGAACACACACATTCTTTAGTACAATAAATCATGATGAGCTTCTTACAAGTGGGCTCAAGACAGGCTCTACTTTAAAGCATTCTCTCTTCAGCATGGTTAAGTCCTGTGAAATGGAAACACTATGTGGATTCTGCACATTACAGAATCTTTGCTTCAAAATGCAGTCTTTCTGGCAGCAGCATATTTTAATTATCAGTATTTTTCTTCCTTGTTTTGTTTTATGACATCTTAGTACATTCAAATAGTCAAAATGTTTAGAGTTAACATCACCACAAGTTTCATGAAAGAGATCAGAATGTGGCCAGCATTGTCAGGCAAAAATTATACAATTTATGTGTCATAGAAAGTGCCTACCCCCTCCCAATCCCCCTGCAACCTCTCCCTCCCCACACAGTAATATGGACACCGAGATTTAACAAGACTTATAAAAAAATAAGGCACATTCATCTTGATATGGTATTTTTAAAATAGAAAACCCCTTCTCAGAACATCTGTATTTAAATGAGCTGTGTAAAAAGACTCCTTGTGGTACCAAAAATAGGTGATGGTACC